AGTTCTGGATATATTTTGACAGAACTGTCGTCACATGGGTGGAGGGAGAGGCTCAGACACACACACACGCACACACAAACGCACACACACACACACAGACACACACACACACACACACACACACACACACACAAACAAACACACCCTAAATCACAGACACACTATCACACAAACTCTAACACACACACACACACACAAACTTATACAAAGACAGTCTCTCTAACACACACACTAGCATAAACAGACATGCAGACACATTAACACACACTCTAACATAAATAAAACACACTAACATTCAAACACACTAACACAGAAACACTCACAGCACACACAAATAAAGAGTGACACAAACACACACATGTACACTAACACTCTCACAAACAGACACACTCCAACATACAGTAACGCACTCTAACACACACACACACACACACACACACATACACACACATACAAACACACATAGATGGAGAGACACAAACATACAGTACACACAAACACTCTCTCTCTCATACACATACATGGAGACACACGCTCTAACACAGACACACTCACAGCACACACAGATAGAGAGAAAAACTTGCACACTAAAACTCTCTCGCTCACAAACACCCACACACACTAATGAAGACACAGCACACACAGAAAAAGAGAAAGACACAAACACAAACAAACAAACAAACAAACAAACAAACAAACAAACAAACCTAAAGCATTCTCTCTCTCTCTCTCTCTCTCTCTCTCTCTTAATTCAAGTCAGTTTAATAGTTGCTTTATTGGCATGACAAATGTTAGAAATGTATTGCCAAAGCAGTTATAAATTTACATAAAAATAAAACAACATACATATTTATTTAAAAAAACGCAGTAAACACTAGTAGAAGCAACAAAAAAAGATATATACATATATTAATTAAATAAAAATAAAAATAATATATCATATTACGCAATATATCACAATGTTATTCAATATATCGCATCTCTCTCTCTCTCTCACACACACACAAACAGACAACACATATCAGTAATTTCCTTCTGCCGATGACTAAAATAAACCAGTTCCTGTATGACGGCAATACTGTTTTCACTTTACAGCATACTGCATTTTCACTGAGACAATAAAGTCATAAAACAGCATCCATTAACTCATGTTCAGCCTCAAAGTACACAACTAGGAAAACACTGAAGTCATTTATTGAGCGTGTCAGATAGTGAGGATTCAGGTCACATTTCAACAAGAACACTGGATATGGCTGCTGAAAGTTATTATACACGACACCGTATGCTTTGAATAATTTCACGTGCATTTTATTCATAATTTAAAAAGTGTATTTACGTGTAGTAATAATTAAGACGTAATAATTAATATAATAATTATAATTTTATTCCACTTTATTTTATTTCATTTTTGTTTTAATATGGAACTGATATTTTGAAGAAAACTTTAATCTTTTTGGTATAATATGAATATTTTAACGAGCATTTTATTCATAGTTTGAGTTGTGTATTTACGTGTAGTAATATTTTAGACTTAATTTCACTTTTATTATCATTTATTTTATCTTATTCCATTTTTTATTTCATTTCATAAATATTGCAACATGAAAATGATCATTCGAAGAAGTCTAATATTTTTGGTATTCATTTTAAAGCTCACTGCATTTTATTTATAATTTGAAATGTGTATTTACGTGTAATATTAATTAAGATGGAATTTCTCTTTTATTATTTTTACAATATTTTATTTCATATTTGTTTTAATATGGATCTGATCGTTTGAAGAAAACTTTAATCTTTTTGGTATAATATTAATATTTTAACGAGCATTTTATTCATAATTAAAATGTATATTTACGTGTAGTAATAATTAAGATTTTATTTATCTTTTTATTATTATTTATTTTATTTTATTCCATTTTTATTTTGAAGAGAACTGTCTTTGGTATTAATTTGAAAGCTTTTAATATTTAACGTGCACTTTATTCATAATTAAAAATGCATATGTAGAAGTTATTATTTTAATATTTATTTTATTTCAGCTACAGTTTTAGAAATAGCAGCACTGCATCAATTTTTAATTCTTTAAGCTGGCATTTTAAAGCTTTTCCCCTAATATTAAAATTACAATTAATTTCATTTTAAAAATGTATTCATTTATAATAATATAATAATATAATAATAATAATATAATAATATAATAATAATAATTATATATATATATATATATATATATATATATATATATATATATATATATATATATATATATATATATATATATATATATATATATATATATATATATATATATATATATATATAAAAAAATATATATTTTTTTATATAAAAGAGAGAGAGAGCGAGCGAACAAAAAAAAAAAAAAAAAGAGAGAGGGTGTGTCTCTCTCTCTCTCTCTCTCTAAATAAAAAAAAAAATATATATATATATACATATATATATATATATATATATATATATATAGAGAGACGCGCGCGCGCGCGCGTGCGTGCGCGCGTGCGC